CTACCCTACAATCACGAGGGGAATTGCAACAGATTGAAACTGATATCATATAAAGCAAAACAGAAAGAAGTCGGGCCTTTAATATTACTATAGTACTGCAAGTCATACCCTACCTTCAGATACACGGACCTATAAATCCTTTTAACTGTGCTCAAAGTAGTCAAGTTTTCTATTATTTATAACATAATTACAAATTGATATCAAGGAAGTTCATTAACAAGCATGTTTCTAGATTGGATTACTCTTAATATTTATATTTATGATGGAAGATTTTAAAGAGGAAATCATTCTAGATCTGCACATCAAAACAAAAACATGTTGAATAATTACCGTTCTAATAAAAGGTTCATGTAACACCTTGAAAGGTAACCACCTATGATTTTATATGGACCACATTTTTTATTTGACATTTTAAAAGATTATTTTCTGAAATCTAGATTTAATTTTTTTTTATTTGAAAGGCAGAGTGACAGCTTTCATCTGCTGGTTCACTCGCCAAATGACTGAAATAGTCAGCGCTAGGCTAGGCTAAAGCCTGGCACCAAGAATTACAACTGGGTCTGCCATGTGGGCAACAAGAACTCAGGCACCTAGGCCATCATCCACTGCCTCTTAGGCACATTAGCAGGAAGCTGGATCATAAGCACAGACAGCCAGAACTCAAACCAGACACTCTGATATGGGATGCAGGCATCCTAAGAGATGACTTAACCTGCTGCACAATACCCTCGCCTAGATTTAAAATTCTTCCAGAAAAATCAAAATATATGACATCAATGGGCCTACATTACTGCAAGGCAACAATCAGCTGGAACAGAATAGCAACTGCCCCTTTAGGACCACCAAGTATACTCTGTACACAGTCAATACAAAGACTTAGCATGCTCTGCTCCTGCAGGTGTTAAGTTAATAATTGGCATTAATATTGGCCATTAATATTTGGCAGGATATATGTCAAATGCCACATAACAGGTAACAAAAAATTATATTCTACCTATTAAGTTTTAGCCTTTTTTTTTTTTTTTTTTGACAGGCAGAGTGGATAGTGAGAGAGAGAGACAGAGAGAAAGGTCTTCCTTTTGCCGTTGGTTCACCCTCCAATGGCCAGCACGGCTGGCGCGCTGCAGCCAGCGCACCGCGCCTATCCAAAGGCAGGAGCCAGGTGCTTCTCCTGGTCTCCCACGGGGTGCAGGGCCAAGCACTTGGGCCATCCTCCACTGCACTCCCTGGCCACAGCAGAGAGCTGGCCTGGAAGAGGGGCAACCGGGACAGAATCCGGCGCCCCAACCGGGACTAGAACCTGGTGTGCCGGTGCCGCAAGGCCGAGGATTAGCCTATTGAGCGGCGGTGCCGGCCAAGTTTTAGCCTTTTAATTAACAGCACATAGTAACTTCCTGAACAAGAAGAAGGTGGGCATTTGGTACAGTTGTTAAAATGACATTTGGGAAATCTGTACCCATATCAGAGTGCCTGGATTCAAGCCCTAGCTCAGCTCCTGACTCCAACTTCCTGATTGTGTGCACCTTGTGAGGCAATAAGGGTCCCTTCCACCCACATGGGAGATCCAAATTGAGTTTCGGGTTCCTGGTCTCAGCCTGGCCCAACCTCAGCTACTGGAGGCATTTGGGTGAACCAGCAGATGCGAGATCTAATTGTTTATCTCTGCCTTTCAAATATACAGGTATTTTTAAAAATCATAAAAACATTTTATCTGTCAGCAGTCCATGAGAAACACTATTCTTGAATTAAATAGCACTGAACACCTTTAAATACGTGATGGAAGCCTTAAGCATAGCACTTCCTGAAAACAAGCCAGTATATTGATTCTTCCAGGTCCAAAATTTGACAATTACTTTAACATACAGATGAAGGCAAAATAACAGTTTGAAATTTCAGCACAAAAAATGTAAAAGTTGGCCATAAGTTTGAAACACTTGAATACACTAGTGTACCATTAACCGAAATTTATCTGCAAAACAGATTGGTCAAAGAAATGACAAGAGGGGTAGTAAATTTCAAAAGAGTTTATAACACTGTAAGGTCAAGCCATATGAGCAAGCTAGGAGGCAGCATTTTATAAAGACTGAACGCTGGAGGAGTCATATGGCTCTACCACTTACTATCTGGACAACTCTTGAAGAGGAGAGGTTGTTTAATTTTAACAATACAAATCCTTAAAGTAGCTAATATTCAATCAGTAAAAAGTACTCAGTAATACATATATTTCTATTTTAATAATATGCTTAAAAATAAGAAAAGCTATGGTAGATACAGAGCTTATATTTACTAATGAAAAATCCATGAAGACAGGATAAAAGAGAATATGTGAGGGTTCAGTGACACTGATAATTACAAGGGTTTGTGTAAGTTGGATGTTTTTCGTGGCTTATATTGCTATAATATTTCATCATTTAGACATGTTACATATTCTTGTTTGCATCGTATTTTTCACAACTTCAGAAGTTTTAATCTAATTTGTACTAACTGTAAACAAATTAACAATCAACTTGTGTAGCCACATATTGAATGAAAAAACTACATCAACTAACAAGTTATTTTTACTTTTAAGGTCTTTTTTTAACCAACTTCTTGAAAGCTATCTGAACATAAAAGAAGAAATAAAAATCTACTGGTGGAGGTTTCAACATTAATATTTAGTAGGAACAGTGAGTTTTGTGTCCTTAAGGAAAGCACTGCCTAAGCTACAAATACCTGCTTAGAAAGAAAAAAAGAAAAAAAAAAAAAAAACACTCTGCATCAATGGAGGAGACAGTTATCTTCCTGAAAAGACTGCATTCTAATAATCATCACACTGAAGGTAATCTATGTAGCCTCTCAATGCCTCAGTTTACTCATCTGTAAAATGGACTATACTGGGGTATGTAATAAAAGAGTTACTAAAGAAGAATTAAATCACATATCCAAAACACCCAGCCCCTCTGACTAGCACGCAACAGATAGTAGTAACTTTTTTTAAATTATCGATTTATTAGTTAACACAACTTCCTTCTTTGAGTAAAATTAAAACTGAAGCTGACACATCTCAGTTGCAAGCCTTTAGATGAAGCAGTACTAACAATCCTGAGATAGACTGATTTATCAGGTCAATGTTTCAGTTCCCAAGACTTTTCCTTCTAAAGCGTGCCAAGATCCCATACATCCAACACAGGAGCGAAAGCACTGGAAGAGTCAATGGAGGGAGAGAAACTGCTGTCTAATCCTCTCAGCAACCTCCCCAGCTCTGCACAAGAGAATGATGGCGATCAGGACTTGTAACTGAACAGCCTTCCCTCTCCTTCCACACAGATACCTTTCTACTCGGTAAACATGACGCTGTGAAAGACTTAAGCGATGACCTTAAAACCCCACCAGGCCCACGTTCTAGGCAGCTTATAAGCAAACTATTACTCTAGAATCTGGACTTTCTTTAATGAGGAAAATGCAAGTGACTCATGTTTGGTCATCCACCCCCACACACACATTCTAAAGAATAGAGGATTCTGAATCCTCCTGCCAAAAAATGCCGTACAAAAACAACTGATTATGGACTATACCACTACCATATATTTGTTTCTCATCCAAGGGACATGAGGTTTAGAAAAAAAATTTTAAAAAGGAAAGTTCAATTCTATTTTGAGTTAAAGCAATAGGTCAATTTCCTATTCATCTCCTTGAGACTCTCAAATGAAAGTCACACATAGAAGAGCCCCAAAATGTTGATAACTGTTGAAGCTGGATGATGAATACCAGAGCTCATTACACTATTGCCTTTCTGCATAGTGCTTAAAATTTCTGTAATGTTCAGATAAAGAAAGATGTGTATGTGCACATCTGTTGGTATTTACATATAAACTCCCAACACAATAAACTGGTAGAGAAACTGTTCATACTCTGAAAGTATGCAATTTTCATCCAGCTACTTTCTCAGTCTAGAAGTTGTATTGCAGGTTACCAGGTAGTAGTAAAGGTCCAATGAAGGAAATAATTAACTGCCCTGGACTACAATAAGCCTAACCTTGAAAATATGGAGGCAAAGGGGAAAGGTGCTAAACGGTTATGACAATTATTGCCCATTTATATCAGGTCCCACCTGTTATATTTAACACAGGTAGCTGGGTGAAAGAGGGGGAAGGATTTTAAGACCAATTTTTTTTAGATTCTTCAAACTGATGGGCAATGAAGGTTGGGATAAAGAAATCTAAAAAGTTTCCATTAAAAATGATAAGCATTTTTAAGAACGGAATAGGGGAAAAGGAAAGTACTTCATATCCATCTTTTTAAAAATAACATCCATGGCTAACAGTAGTATTGCAAACAACTTCCAATGACCAAATATTGCTTACTGCTGGACACAAATTTGCGAAAGACAAGATTATACTGAATCTGCCTCAATTCTTTTTTCAAGCTGACATTCAATTCTCACAAAATCACTTTAATAATCCTAAACTCACTCCAAAGATTAACTTTCATCAGTTACATTTTAAAATGAACCTAATCAAAAATAAAAATAAATGCTAACTTTGCAGCAAATTAATCTTTCATCAGCACCCTGAACAAGAATTTTATGCTTAAAACTTCTTATGGAAAAACATAAGCTAGGCAGACTCAAAGACTTAAATGATCTCCCAAGTCCCAAAGAAGGTCACAAGATCTTACTTTAAATGTTAAAGAGAAATGCAGACTTAGACATACAAGCCTCACAAGTACAGAGGACGCCACTGGGACCCCTCCCCCACCCCCCAAATACTTCCACAGCAACATTTCTTCAGCACAAAAGGGATCTGTTCACTTTCACAAAACCTGGATCACCTAAGTTTGCATGTTTCCCTTTAAACTGAATAAGACGAGAAACTGTTTCATTTAGGTCAGTAGAATTTCTGTGTTTCTATCCATGGAAAATGCCAACATCAGCCTAAGAAAAGCACATGGCTTCAACTTTAACGTCTTGTTCTCTAACCCACTGAGAAAAGTATATGCTCATAAAATATTTAACTACTTACCAGGTTAAAGACAGTTTCTACAATATCCCTATTGGATACTTCTCCAACTTCGACCAGCCCCGTCAGCACGGCAAATTTCATTCTGATGCCCCTGATGGGGAGCCCAGGCTTCAGAGACAATGCAGCTCCTCCGGTGGAGGTCTCTTCTCTTCTCCCTCCACCTCCCCCGTCATCACCTGTTGGTGGCGGGGAAGGGACACGGCTGTCTTCACTAGCCATGGCCGGTTCGCGAGAAAGGACAACTCGGAGTCACCCTGGGACAGCAGTCGCTGCCCAAGTGGGAAGCACGACACACGCAACGCCAAGACGGAAAGGGTCTCTCTTGCAACTTGTGGAGAAAACCCCAAAAGCAGTAGATGCGGAAAGTCCTTGGCGTCGCCCTCCTCCTCTTGGAGAATTATTTGTCCAATCTCTCTCCCCGAGGCTGACAACAACGCCAAACCCTATTGGAAGATTAAATATATGTTAAATAGGCTAGGTTTGGGTTTGGTGGGGGCAGGAGAGGGGAAATAGTTATTGTCCGTCAAATAAGTTACGAACGGCGTCCCCACAGGCAGCCCCCCCGCTCCTCCCGAGCTCAGAGCTGGGTTCTGAGTGAAGGCGGGTCCGGGAGGCCCTGGAACAGGTTCACTCCTCCCCCACACTCTCGCAGGTTCTAGGCGCAGGGCAACCTCTCTTCACAGGTGCACGCCAAAGAGAAACTGCCGCGGGGAAAAAAGGGGTCGGAGGAAAAGAGGGGGCCCCCACGCCACCACAGAGGCAGAAAGTTTCTCCTCACCCAGATACTCGGGACCCGTCCTTACCCCCGGCCCGGGAGCAGCGAGACAGAGGTGGCGGCGAGATCCAGGGCAGGAAAAGGCGGGGGAAGGGGGCGGTGATTATTCTCAACGCTCGGCCCAGGGGGAGGACTGGAGCACCGCTCTCAGGCACCTGAGGTTCCACGGGGCCAGGAAGGGAGGTGTGTGTTGTGGCAGGGAGGGAGGAAGGCAGCCGGGGAGGCCCGGCGGTGAGGAGAGGAGGGAGGAGAGAGAGGTCAATGCACCTGGTCGCAGCCTCCAAGTTTCCCTAGTCCGCTCCCCGGGAGTCCGCGGCTGCACAGAACTCCATGGCTTCCTCGCCCGCCCCCACCCCCTGCGATCAGCCAGTGCAAAAGCAGCCGCTGCAGGCGCTACGGATGCCACGCCGGAGGCTGCTGCGGGTGGTGAGGATGCTACTGCCACAGCTCGCCTCGCCACGGCTCGCGCGGCTGTCCCAGCGTCCACTGAAGCTGCTCCCCGCCGCCATGACAGCGCCGAGGGCTGCGGGGCGCGGCGTGCGCGTGCGCGAGCGCGCGAGGCGGTGGGGCGGGCGGGCGCAAAGGCGGAGGCCGCCGCCGTGGAGGGACGCGCGGGCGGCCTAATGGGGGGAGGGGGGGGCAGAAAGGGGCGGGGGCGCTGAGCGCGCGCTTCCTGGAAAGACCGCTCGTGAAGGGGCGCCCCCGGCGGGCGCGCCCTTCAGGTAGCGCGGAGCGCGGCCCCGCCCGGCGAAATAGGAAAGGAGCGACCTCTCCTTCAGGGGCTCCCCTCGCACCCGGGGAGGTGCTTGCTTGGGCAAGCGCTGAGGCGCCGCTGCTGACGTTCCTGCTGTTGTCAAGTTACCGTAGGGTCTCCTGGCGCCGAGGGAGCCCGCCCCTACGTTGCCAAGGTGTCTTCTCGGCCTTGGACAAGGACACCTGAGGGACCTGGACGAGCCCGAGAGGTGGCGGCGCCGGAGCCGGCGAGGCTGCCGTCCCTGTCTAAGGGGAGCGCAGAGTCCCCACCCCCGACCGCCTTCAGCTGCTGCCCGCCCGCCCGCCGCGCTCGGCGACGGCTTGGAGAGAGATGTCCACTGGGATGCCCAGGCAGCTGCTGCCGTTCGGCGGGCGGCCGGGCGAGCGGAGCGGGGGGAGGCCGCGTCGCCGAGGAATAGGAAGGATTCCGGGCTCGGCAGCTGCCGCCCCACCAAACCTCTCCCACATTCTGAGGAGGGGAGGATTCCGGAGACAGCTGCTCCCAGCAGCGTGGAGGCGGGGTGGACTGCGCTGTGGATCCTCCGAGGGGTTTTTTCCTTTCGTGATTTTCCAGTGTGAAAGGCAGATCAGGCTGAAAGATAAATTATAATAAGGCACAGATCATCGGGCTCTTGAGAGAGCATGCTCTCTTCGACCCCCACTATTAACGGTAAAGAATTCTTTCTGGTGCGTTAGTGAAACATACAACGGAAGGTGGTTTTTCACCTTTCTTTGAGGTCACCGGGTCATAATTTTTAAAATGACTCCTAGCCCCCTAAAATGAAAGTGAAGCCAAAAGTGGCGTCAAACAAAAGAAATTGCTCCGGAGGATTCGCAAGAAAAAAAAAAGACATAGGTTGGTTTGAGAGGTGAAATAAGTTTCCTGGGGAAAGGGTTATTAGAGGTGGCCTTGAAAAGTAGACAATTTTAACCGTCACATGGAAAATTTGCGAGCAGAAAGGCAGGGTCAAAAGAGATTCACGAAGCCAGGATGTCCGTCTTTAGAAAAGTGTTACCTCATGTAGTTGCAAATATTTATTAAAGATTTGTTTGCCGTAAGTGAGTTTAGATATTCCAAGGTGAGGCAGGCATTTTTCTGATGATCTGAATTGCAATTCAAGGGTGAAAGGCAACATCAAAGGGCAGGCATGTGACTCAGCAGATTGAGGCACTGCATCCCATATCCGAGTCCCGGTCCTGCTCTCTGGTCCAGCATCCTGCTAATGTGCATCTTGGGAGGCAGCAAATGATGGCTACCTGTCACCCACCTGGAAGACCTGGATTGAATTCTGGCTGCTGGCTTCAGCGTGGCCCAGCCCTCACTGTGGTAGGGCACTGGGGGAGCAGACCAGCACTTGGATGCTCCCTCTCTCTGTGTCTGTCTTTCAAACTTGAAAAAACTTTTAAAGAGTAATAATAAAGTTTAAATGTTAAAAATCATGGAGTGCTTCAGAGTCAAATATCTGCCCATCAAATACTAAGCTCTTTCAGGGCACAAAATACACATTGGAGGTATTCAATACATGTTATTTGTATTGATTTAAAACTCCAAAGTTGTTTGCTTTAATATTTCTGGCCGGAAACCCTTTGTCTGAGTTTACATAGCTACTACCAGGTAGAGAGAGGAAAATCTTGGTATAAATGGGTATTTTAACATGGAAGGCAGTTTTACCATGTGTTTATCTTTGTTAATATCAATGGAAGTTTTCTAGTTGAAACCCTTTATATGAACTATCAGCAGGACTGCCTTACCTGTATCATACACCAAAAAAGGGTGAAGGGGGAGAAAAACATCTAACTCCTATAAAGACAGGTTCAAATTTTCCTATCACCATCTAATTTGTATCTCTCTGACACCAATATCTTGGCAGAATTAAGGACCAAAGCTTTTCATAATTTTACTTGTAATTCATATTTGTCTATGTTCATTTTATTTGAAAGGCAAAGACATAAAGATTTTCTATCTGGTGGTTCACTCCCCAAATATCTGCAACAGCCAGGGTGGGACCACGCTTAAGCCAGGAACCTGGAACTCCGTTCCAGTCTCCCACATAAGTGACAGAGATCCAAGTGGGTCATCACCTGCTGCCTTCCAGGGTACACATCAGCAGGAAACCAGAACTGGAAGCAGAGCCCAGACTTGAATCCAGGGATACATCTATTGCACCAAACACCTGCCCCAATTTTCCTTGTTGTCAGCATTCATTGGAGTCATAGAAGAAAAGAAAAGAAAAAAACAAATAGTGGATTGAGAACAAGGAAGCCTGCATAACTTGGAGGAACTCAAGCAAAAAGAATGTAACTTCATGCTGAAATCAAGATTATTGATCTACAAACCCTTACCTATATACAAAGAAAAGACACTTTGGAGCACAAAGATGGAATGGAATTTTCTTTCTACTCCATATCAGAAAACACCAAATGCACCCAATTGTAACTTCTTAGAATTTTGCTAGGGTATAGATTAAATAATAACTCAGGAAAAACACCTATGTGATTTGCTATGTACCTGGGTGCATATCCTTGGATTTACAGTTTTCCAGTTATTTAGTACAGCTTGTGATATTTTAAACTGCAGATTCATGTCCCTAGCTTGCAGCTTCCTCGTGAAAAAGTCAAACACTGATATAAGTATTCATTAAATCATACTAACATTAAGGAAAACTTCAAATGTTAGTAGCCCTTAGAAGTGACATTTTCCTTGGTCTTTTGACTCTGAGAACAATTACAATATAAAGGGGAAAAATATCATGCATAGTAAGAAACTTCAGTGTTTAAGATAAGTTTACGTGATTGTGTAAGTTCAAACCGCTTCACATCAACTTACTATATTTGGGACATTTTTAAAACATCTCCCTCCCCCTGTAATGTCACATAAAGGATAGAGGCTTTGAAAAGGGAAATTCCAGTTTCAGCAAGAGTACTAGCCAAAGCATATCTTTTAAGACATAAAATATTAATGCAATATTTAGTGTAGTTGATATGAAATAAACTAGGTAGATTGGTTGGTTTGTATTTTCTATTTTCCCATCTATTCTTAAGTAGTGTGTAAGTGGGTAGCCCGTTTGTAGAGTTCCCTTGTGACAGTAAGATTGTACCATTAGCCTGCAAAGAAATGTGCTACCACGTCACCACTGCAATTTATGTAAGTGCATACACTACCATGACTGTTGGAATTGATCAGCTAAGTTCTGAATGGCTTGTGCAGCTGAGCTTCCTGAGAGGTCAATGCCTCCCCCTGAAAATGGTAGGTTACCATTTTCATCATCAGGATGGAGGTGGGAGTTCAACAGGAAATGAGGCACCAGAAGGTTGACTTCCAGCAGATAAATAACTTTTCTAGACCTCATGCTTTGAGGCTAAATTTTGAATCACTTCCTAGTACTTGCAAGTAGAGGGGGAAAAGATGATTTCTGTCATGTGATAGTATGCTTAATGAAACATTCTCTCTCTTTTAAGATTTTATTTATTTGAGAGGTAGAGTTACAGGCAGAGAGAGGGAGATACAGAGAGAAAGATCTTCCATCTGCTGGTTCACTCCCCAAATGGCCCCAAAGGCCAGAGCTGGGCCAATCAGGAGCCAGGAGCTTTTTCCAGGTCTCGAACGCAGACACAAGAGCCCAAGCACTTGGGCCATCTTCCACTGCTTTCCCACGCCATAAGCAGAGAACTGGATGGGAAGAGGAGCAGCTGGAACAGGAACCTCTGCAGGCAAAGGCTTAGCCTGCTATGCCACAGTGCTGGCACCGAAATATTATCTCTTAAAATTGTAGCTACTTGGAGTACCTATGTGGAGAATAATTTGGGCTCTTCAGTGGACATCCCCAGCTGAATCTCAAGTCCCCAACTGCCTGCTTTATAAGTGAGCCATCTTGGGGCCGGCACTATGGTATAACAGGTAAATCTGCTATCTGCAGTGCTGGCATCCCATATGGCCACTGGTTCAAGTCCTGGATGCTCCAGTTCCCATCCAGCACCCTGCTAAAACTCCTGGGAAAGCAGTGGAGGATGGGTCTAGTCCTTGGGCCCCTGTATCCACGTGGGAGACATGGAGGAAGGTCCAGGTGCCTAGCTTCGGATCAGCTCAGCTCCCGCCATTGCGGCCATTTGGGGACTGAACCAGCAGATGGAAGATTCACTGTCTCTACCTCTCTCTGTAACTGTTTTTCAAATAAATGAAATAAATCTTTGAGAGAGAGGGGGAGAGAGAAGGGGAATTTGAAGGGATCACATTTGGAGTTATAGGTTCACAGGAATTTTCCAAAAAGATTTTCTTTGTCATTAATTGAGAAGACCTGGGTTTAACTTTAAGGATAAACACTCATTTTCTTATAGATACTCCAAATGATGTTCTCTGCAGAAAACAAGTACACTTCTACTAAATGTAAATTAAGATAGTACCGAGATAAGATCTTTACCTCTCTCATTGCAAATATTTATATTACCCAGTGTTGGCCAAAGGGAAATATACAGGGACTAGCGCCGTGACGTAGTAAGTTAAGCCTTCGCCTGCAATGCCAGCATCCCATATGTGTGCCAGTTCATGTCCTGGCTGCTCCCCTTCTGACCCAGCTCTGTGCTTATGGCCTGGAAAAGCAGTGGAAAATGCCCCAATTGTTTGGGCCCTCACACCAGCATGGGAGACTCAGAAGAGGCTCCTGGCTCCTGGCTTCAGACCAGCACACCCTGGCCAATTGTGGCCATTTGGGGAGTGAACCAGCTAATGGAAGATTTTTCTCTCTGTCTCTCCCTCTCTGTACCTTTCAAATAAATAAACAAATCTTTTTTTAAAAAAAAAAAGGGGGGGGGGATGTACAGCATTAATGAGAGGTATTTTGGCAATAAACTACACTTCTCAAGAACAGAGAGGATGGGGCCAGCACTGTGGCGCAGTGGGTTAACATCCGGGCCTGAAGCACCAGCAGCCCATATGGGCGCCGATTCAAGACCTGGCTGCTCCACTTCCAATCCAGCTCTCTGCTATGGCCTGGGAAAGCAGTACCAGATGGCCCCTGCACCCACGTGGGAGACCCAAAAGAAGCTCCTGGCTCACCATTGCGGCCAACTGGGGAGTGAATCAGCGGATGGAAGACCTCTCTCTCTCTCTCTCTCTCTCTCTCTCTCTCCCTCTCTTCTCTATAGCTCTTTCAAATAAATAAATCTTAAAAAAAAAAAAAAAAAGAACAGAGAGGAAACAGCACAGAGGTAGAGTTAAAATCATATCCATTTTAGTGTTATTTGTAAATTCAAAAACTCAGAAACAAGCTGAATCTCTAAAACAAATAGAGGTTGGTTAAATGAATTATTACTCTTCCATGCAATGGACATTGGAAATAGTTAATA